TGGTGTGTGATCTGTCTCTTATACACATCTAGATGTGTATAAGAGACAGCTCCTCCTCCTCCTCCTCCTCCTCCACCTTCTCCTCCTCCTCCGCCTTCTCCTTCTCACCCTCACGCAGCCATCGCTCAGAACCTTCCAGATACCCTCCTTCCTGTTCGCAAGGACTCCGTAGCTTCGCCTTCGAGCATGTTCTCCCGTTCATAGTACCGGGGATAACTATCGCCCGATTTTCACCTTTCAACCCTCTCCTCACGTGCTTAGCACGGCACACCCGATTTTCACCTTTCAACCATCTCCTCACATGTCTAGCATGGCATTCCTCACGCCTTTCGTGGGACGAAATGTCAATTTCACACTTTCTGCCCATATGCCACGAGTGCAGGCCTCCTTGACGTGGCAGCAGAGAAGTTCCACAGTTGCCAAGGCGTACTTCCTCAAGCTCACCCATCTTCTTGGGCCTGACGTCTTCGGGTACCCGCCATGATCTCCTTCCCTTCTGTTTTACATTTCTCGACTGCCTTCGCATCCATATGCCACGCCATGTTGCACGCATGTTTCGTCCACTGCTGGTGATCGTAACGGTCTCCATGCTGCTTTCCCTACCTGCACTTGGACCTGGACTTGAACCAAGACTTGGACCTGGGATTGAACCTGGGGTTTCTTGAACTGGGCCGGGACCAGCACCATGCATTCCATGCATCTCCATGCTGCTTTCTCTACCTGTACTTGGACCTGGACTTGAACCAGGATTTGAACCTGGGTTTGAGCCTGGGTTTGAACCTCGGGGTTCTGGAACTGGGCCAGGACTAGCTCCATGTGTTCCATGCGTCTCCGTGCTGCTTTCTCTACCCGTACTTGGACCTGGACTTGAGCCAGGATTTGAACCTGGGCTTGAACCTAGGGGTTCTGGAACTGGGCCAGGACCAGCTCCATCTGTCCCCTGCTCTTCGTCTGATGACCCTGAACTCCTTGGACCAGAGTCAACAGACACCCAACATCTGAGTTGCTCGGGGAAATGAAGTCCCCCGTCAATCAGGAGTTCAACACATCCTCTCAGATCAGTGGTGGCATCAATGAACTCAAAGCTTCTGGCCAGCTCTGGCTTTTCAATTCCTGAGGAGACCGATTCATCCACCATCTCTTTTGGCTCCTGTGCTTCTTGAACCTCAGCATCCGATTTCTGTCGTTTCTTATTTCGCTGCTTCTCCGCAGGTTTTGCACCCTCCTCACATTCACCAGTGACATCAAATGCTGCCAATTCTCTGACCATCGCCGGCATTTGATCCTTGCTAAAGGGGGTCCGTCCACCCACATCCAAATGCACCACCATCATTACCACTCCCATTAACACGACTCTATTTCCATCCATCCATTATGCCGCCGCCCATTGCCAGGGACTACAGTCGTCGGACTGCTGCTCCGCGGTATATACTCCTACGCAGGTTTTGCATCCCAGATGCTGCCGATTCTCTGGCATTTGCTTTTCACTAAAAGGGCTCCACCCACATCCACACGCCCACCACCTTCATTACCACTCCCATCAGCACAACTCCATTTCCATCGATCCATTACGCCACCGCGAATTGGCACTTCTCCCTTCTCTCTTTGCAACCAGCTTTAGCACCGACAACCGTTGGACTGCTGCTCCTCAGTTGAGTACTCTTACCTCTTCTCCTCCCACCCTTCCTTCCATCATCATCCTCTGGGAGCACACTGCTGTGCTGCTTTTGCTGACTGAACCAGCCCCCCACAGAGGCGTGCTCCTGAGCTGCTTGCCCCACATACCTTTTCTTCTTCTTCTTCTTCTTCTTCTTCTTCTTTTTGCAAGTTGCAACGGACTTCCACGCCACGTCTATCTCACCAAAAACACTTCGCTTCTTAAAATTTTGTACCTGCAGCTCTTTCTTCTGGCCTCAGATTGCTCATCTTGAAGTTGGTGACCCCCCTGCCGCACTTCCATTCCTTTTTCCCGGTCGGGGCAGCTATCCGTCCGGATCTCCTCTTTCTATTCGATCTAAGGACATCCATCTCCTCTTGCTATTCGATCGCAGGACCTGTCATCTGACGCTGTGTGAGTTGCAGTTGCAAGGCCAGCAAAGTCCCCAAGCTTGCTAAGGATTGGTCAAACACGCATCAGTGCATCACGACACTCCCCGAACAAAAAAACAAGGTGCTTCCACCTTTGCCGCCCAGCTTGGACAGGTGTCTTTGTGTGCCCTCCACCATCAGATTTCTCCATTTCCTTCTGAGACTAGCACTATGTTAAACAGATCTGACCCCATTTATGGCCAGACCTGTATGCATCTGGCCCAGATTCCGTCCAGAAACAAGTGAAAAAGTGCTAGTGTGAGTATGCCCTGCGATACGTAATAGCAATCTTGACAAAAGGCAATAACAAAACCAAGAAGCAAAAGACCAGGCCAGGCCTGAAAGGCCGTCCTGCCCAGATTTGACAGGTAATTCAATTGGTTTGAAAGGCCTTCCACGATTCAGACCCCAAATTCGAGTTTCAAGGTCAGAGGCCCTGGCCAAGAAAGGCCGAGTCAGTCAGTTTCAGAAAAGTCACAGTCGGGTACCTTAGCAGTCAAGTCCAACAGGCACCCGGCAAACAGTCACATCTTAGGGGCAAAATCATGTCTCATAATGAAAAGTCATGTTGGAAAGTCACATCCCACGAACAAAGGGCAATTCCATAAGCAGGAGTCGTGTCCCAGAGGCAGGAGTCACAGTCCACAGTCAAAACCATGTGTCATAATCGAAAAGTTGTGACTCAAACGCCCAAGCACCAGCACACCAATGAAAATTCGGGAAGGTTCCAGGCGCTGACATTCGGAAGCAGACAGGCCGTGGGGATGTGGTACCGGAACCAAGTCAAGCCCCAAGAAGCAGAGGTTGGAACGAGCTGAAGGTCGGTCCAAGACAATATAAGGACTGCCCAGCCTCCTCATTCGGCAGATTGCTCATTCGCATGAAGTGTGGAAGTGCTGGTGCACTTGCTATTTTGAGGGGCGGAGCGCTGAGCCAGAGAGCTGTGCTGTTAGAGACAGAGAGAGAGGGAGCAGCCATAGCTGCCCAGCGCTGGCATAGGGAAGACAGCCATAGCTGCGCCAGTGCTAGTAATTAGCAGTAGTCTTCAGAGGGGTTAGTAGAGTTAGCAGTGGGTGTATTCAGAGTTGGTCCTTGAGTAGTAGAAGGTGTGTGAGTGCATGCAAGTAGGGGAAGAAGACACAGAGAGGTAGTAGACAGAGAGAAGACCGAGAGGGAAGAGAGAAGAGCTTCGGAAGAGTTACATACCTGAGTGGAGATACTGGATACTTGGGTTTGTGCTGTTGAGCACCTGTGACTGAAACTCTTAATTGCTTGTATGATAAATTGTTGGAACTCTAAGCTGCGCTTACCTGGTCTTCATTTCTCTGGCCTCCAGTGTGAACTTCATGTGATCTTATTCATGCATGGTGTGTGATTGTGTGTGCTCACTGGTGGTGAACTGAGAGGTTCGCACCGGGCCCGTTTAAAAAAAAAAAAAAAAAAAAAAAAAAAAAAGGGTGGCCAGATTGAATTCTTGTACATGAAGGACTCGATCTGGCCGCTCATTTTGCGATTTTGTGATTTTGAGGGCCTAGTGTGAGTATACTCTTAGCTAGGACCTTGACACCCGGCCTCGTTCTTTGCGGTAGAAGGGCAATAGCTTGTCGGTATGCGTGACAGGAAGGAGTGCCATACTCTGCAAGGAAACACGGTTAGGCTCCGCTGACCCAAGTTAGGGTTGGAGCCCTATTGTACAGTGCAGATGGTTAGGCCAGTAGTGTTAGGATGGACTGCTTGGTTATAGTTAGCCAGCTAGATCTACGATTAGAACACCGGTACCTGCTTTCCCCCCAAACATAACGGAACGCCGTAACTAATGTATACAAGGTGTGTTTCTGGTTCAGTACAGCCACAATGAGGGTGCATTGGGTTCGGGAGAAGACGGTAGGTAGGGAGTATAGCTAGCGTACTACAGCAGCCACAGAGCTGCGGTTGGTTTTGCCCGTGGG